ATGGCAACAAAATAAAAAAATAAAAAAAAATATAGCTAGCTCTAGGAGCAATATAGAATTTTTGTGAACAAAATTGAACGATGGGAATCGAGGATTTTCTGGAGAGAGAGATGATGGAATTGATGGAGCAGTGCATGAATGTGGTTGTGGGTCTATTTGCATCATATCATTAGCCTGATTCCTCAAGGGGTAAGTTAATTAAGTGGGATCTAACCCACGAAATCTTTGGTTGGTAGTACTTAGTAAAGTGATAATTTCGTGTCATTATGCTACCGTCATAGTTCTTAATTCCTGTCATTTCGAAATAGTGTGTACTATGATAATATCAGTTAGGTATACAAGTAGATCAAATTAAAATGGGTAAAAGACATTATGGGGTTCGAGTCATGTTAAGTCGTTGCATCGATTCGTATCATTGAGGTAGTTGAGAAAATGTCACATTTAGTTATAAGAGAAATCAAATCGAACCTCGTTAAGAATAACGTTTTAAATAACAATATATATAGGGGGATTTTTATTTAATTATATTTCGAACGATAAAATGGCTTTCTATTACTATCATATTAAATTTACGTAAGCAATAATTAAGCCGACAAAAAAAATTCAAAAAATTAAATAGTGTTTGTCATTTCAAATCGGGTACTAAATAATGTCAATTTGGTACATGTATAGGTCAAGTCAAAACAATTATGTGTCACTCTGAGTGGAATCATGTTAAGTTGTTGGCATTCGTAACATCTTTGGGTAGTGCTGGCTATTTGGTCCCGGACTGTTTGGTTTTACCCGAAACCGGACCGTATAACTCGGACCGAGACCGGACTGGGACCGGATAGCAAACAATGCGATCTCATATTCAGGCTTAGATTTGAGATAAGAAACCGGATAAAGACCGGATAAGAGACCCCCAACACCTAAAATCAAGATAAAATTGGGACCGGACCGGGTCAGGATCAGACCAGATCAAGACCGGACTGTATCCAATCCAATCTTTGGTCCTTATATTCCCGAAGAGACTGGACTGGGACCGGATCAATTTGGTCCAATTTAACCGGATCGGACCGTATAGCCACCCTATCTTTGGGTACATCATGATCATGTAATTAGAGAGGCCAATACCAAAATGTCAACTCTAAGTATGAGAGAAATTGAACCAAACCCGTCTAGAATCACACTTTAACTAGCGATTTATATATGTGAGAAATTTTATTAGGATATGTTTCGATGAAGTAAAGTGGTCTATATATAATTACTACCATGCATACACACATGAGCATTAATAATTAATTCAACACAAAAAAATCATCAATTACAATGATCCACCCAATTGTCATGTTTCATAAATTCAGGAACATATACATATATACTCCTTTTTAATGCACGATATTGACGATACTAATTGGAGAAAGGAAAACTAAATTCCAGACCAATAATACCAGAACATGGTTCAACGTTGGAAATTGCAAAGCATCGCTGAAAGTAGGGCTTCGGAATTCGGATCCTCTTTGGTTTGGTAAATACGAAAGTAGGTTTTCCACAAGACCAAAAAAACAAGGATTATAGTTGCCGAATTAATTATTTAATTATGATGAGCTTTTTTCTAGAAAACATCGATGGAAATTGGAAAACCATTAAAACGAAGAATAATATAGAACCTGTCGTCGAATGAAAATGATCACAAATCACTAGGCTAATCATCACTAATATTCGATCATTATTAAAATAAAGTTAAGTCAAAGTCGAAGAATTAAATTTGTGACAAATCCTACACCATCGTGACTAGGATAGTAATATATTAATATGTAGCGACGGTGGAAAGAATTGATGGATGTACCTTTGGGTAAAACGGGGGTTTTCAATTATTCTTTTAATATTCATGTTATTAATTTTATGATTATTGTTTATAATTTTTTTTTGTTATTTTTCATACTCATCGGTGTACTAGGGACATCCACATCCCTAAAATTGGCACCGATTATCGATGTTTCGATAGTAATTTTGGTTTGAAAAAAAGGTGATAATCTAAGTAATCTAAAAATGTGACACCGCTATTATTAATGCACATATTCTCCATTAGAATACAACTCTTTCCTTTATAGTATTAACATCTCTTGGTGGTAACAAAGTAACTTTTACAATTGACAAAATTGGGAGAATTTTAAATGTGCTTATTATTGCGTATATATAATTTTAAATAGTTTAAACATTGATATAAACGGTTTCTCCACAAAAATTTTCCGGCCAACGGCTCGACCCTGTGCTAGTTTTTTTTTTATCAAAAGATATCATATATTGATCCAAACAAATAGATAATTACATTCCTGGAAAGCAGCCAGGCCAGGAAATCAAAGAAGCGACCTACAGTACAGTCGGATACAAAAAGAGGACTTTTCTAGCTATCGAGTGAGCTACCCTATTGTTCTCTCGACCTACAAATCGCGACCCTGTGCTAGTTTTACTAAAGGGAAGAACAGTTTTTTTTTTTTAAAAATGGACTATTTGAAAATTTGATACAATGCATGTAGATGAGTTCCCTGATAGCTAGGTAAAACTGTTAAAACGGAAAATGAGATCATTTATTTGCCGCTGAATTTGTAATTTTCTTATCACTATATAGTATAAAATAATAATAATACAATGAAAGAGGGACGTAAGGTAAAATGCAATTGTGTGTGTCGTTTTGCTCTTTTAGGTGTATGGACAAAAGAAATAGTAGAAAGAAAGAAAGGACCTTTTTCTCTCTTCGATTTTCTTTTCTCCAAGAAACAAGGGCGATGTTGCCACGACGACACGGCACGCATCATCATCTCCACAAATGGCTGCGCCTGACAGAGAGAGCTCTCCCGGCCACAAAATCATACATGAGCGACGATGTTCACTTCAAAACCTAAAAACACTGGAAAAAACGTGATCTCTCGATGAACATAATGAATCGCGTTGATCAATCAAGAGCTTTGCCGCCACTCCTTAAGATTACCTGTTTTATCGCAATTAGAAAAATTATATGATACTGGTTAATTTTAATTGAATTACTTTTCTTCTTTTTATCGAAGTAAATTAGAATAGAAACTAGATTTGAGATAGAAAACATAACAAAACTGAAAGGAGGATAATTTTCCATCTAAAAATTCTAAGTTTGGATTTCTTAAATAGATCTGATAATAAAACTTCACGATTATTAAAAAAAAATCGAAGAGAGTAATTGAGGGTGGAGGGGTCAGTCACGTGAGTAAGAGCGTGGAGGAGGGAAAGGGCAAAAAGAGTAGTGCTGCTAGTTTTGCTACTTTGGCTGGCCTTTGGTAACGTATAAAAATGAAATGATTTACAACACAACAAATTCCCTTCTTTCCTTCCACCCTACCGCTTCCAAATTCCAGTTGTAACAGAAAAAAAGAAAGAAGAAAGAACGGCTGCCTGCTGCTGCTGATGATGATGAGAAAAGAGACACACATAGCAAGAGAGAGCTAGTCACGATTCTCACATTTCTATTACTGACTTACCTTCATCATCAACATGCATTTCTTAACTCAACTCTTAAGTCATCATCATGAATTTAAATAAAGTTACAATTGACTAGAAGAAGAAAAAGAAAAAAAAAACAATCGATTTCCATATGATTCAGAGTTCAACGAAATTAGACACCAAAAACAAGAGGAAACTAATGTGTTGAGTAGTTGAATGTACTGTACGTGCAGTGGCGGATCCAAGGGGTGGTCATCCCGAGCCACCGCCCAGCCCTTCTCTGAATTCGGAGCTAGTATAGTCCATATGAGTTTATCGATTTAGTCTGGTGTTATTTTATAATAAGAATGTGTGTAATTAGGAAAATGGGTCAGATGAACATATTCAAATCACAACTCGAAATTTAGCCTGGAATTCTAGCTCCAATGATTTCTCGTCAAATGAAAAACAAACAATGAAACCTAAAATTCTAAAAGTCTAAAACGTAAAAGACTAAAAGAAATATATATTGATTGGTCGATTGATTTGTCTAGTGTTTGACATTGCTGTTTTCAACAGCTGCTATGTAGAGAACCTTTTTCAACAATGAAATAGGTGAAAAATTAATTACTTGCGCAACAAAATGAGCGATGAATTTCTCGCCAATTGGTTAACTATTTTTTATCTTAAGAGAGTATCATATTGGTATGAATGTAGACTCCATTATTGATGAATTCACTATATTAAAATTTATAAAATCGACATGTAGAATTGATATTGTAAGAAAACTATAAATTTTTATGGTATCTATTCTAATGAAATGCGACTCAGTGCTATACTGTGTCCTGGATCCTCCGCTATGTACGTGCAGGAAGAAATGTGGAAAAGACAAAATCTGAACCGTATGTAAATGATTAAATTTTCACTTACATTAACCGCTTGATCAATAAGATAAAATAAATACATCGCTTCTTTTTTAGCAGAATAAACACATCTTACTATTTATTTATGAAAAAGTCTGTGTAAAATCGAGAGTCTCCTATCAAATTTTTTTTTTTTTAAAATTCTATTCATACTATCGAATATACCCACTTGAAATGTGACGAGTGTTATCACTCTCGTATAATTAACCTGAATGTAGCTGATGCCTTGTAAATTTGGGTTGTCCTGCCATTTACTTTTTAACCCAAAAATAGTTAATTTCACACGGCTGTAAGAAAATAAAATATCAGGTGCTAGGAGAGGAAGAGTAGTAGCGAGTGAGTAAGTATATGGAATGGTACTGTTGTGATTGTGATTGTTTTGTCTTTCCTTTTTCACATATTAAAATAAATAATAATAATATTCCAGTTTGTCCACGAAATTTGTGATACGCCACCTACTTAATTATAATGCCATCCATTGTCATGCAATGCAACCCAACAGCCACTAAATAATAAAAATAAAAAGCATTTCTTTTTTACATCACCACTTTTTTTTAATCTCGAGTATTTAGTATTTACCGTGGCGGCCCCGCTCGATCCCCGCTATATATATCCTTCGATTCCTCCCCTTTCATCCTCATTCATTTCTTTGGTTGTAAGAGCTGAATTCCCCCCCAAAATCAAAGAGCTCCCCGTCCATCTTTGCCTCTTCTGTGTTCTCTTGCTGCCGCCTTTCCGGCCGCCGGAGACTCAGATTGCAGGAAAGACCGACCGGCAGCAGAGCGTTTTCCCCCCCTATCCTAATTGTACACCATGCAGCACACCGGAGCCTTCGTTTTTGGCATTCTAGGTACTCTCTCTCTCTCCTAACTAACTTCATACCCAACTTTCTCACCATACCCACTCTTTCTCTGTACAAAAACGTTTCTAATTAACCATTTATGTATATTGATTATGGATTAATTATCAGCACAACTACTCCCTAATCTCATACCGATTAATTAAAAAAAATACCCAGCTTCATTTTTTGCATGATGGGCAATGCATAATCCATGAGTAGAGTACTGATCATGTTGTTGATCCATGGTTTATGATTTTTTGCAGGTAACATCATATCATTTATGGTCTTCCTGGCTCCTGTGTAAGTATCAAAATCATCCCGCCCACTGCCACCTCACAAAAACAATGATAATAAATAAATATTAAAAAAAGAAAGAGAGAAAGATACCGTATTTTGTTTGATGTCAATTTCTTGGAGTTGGTGGGAGCAATCCAATCAATTAACTGTTTTGGGACATGTACAGGCCGACGTTCTGGCAGATCCATAAGAAGAAGACGAGCGAAGGCTACAAATCGCTGCCTTATCTGACCGCACTCTTCAGCTCCATGCTCTGGCTCTACTACGCTCTCCTCAAGAAGCAAGACGCTCTCCTCCTCATGACCATCAACGCCTTCGGCTGCGTCATCGAGACCGTCTACACCGCGCTCTTCATCGCCTACGCACCCAAGAAAACCCGGGTACGTAGTAAAATAATAAATTCAAACATCCAACCACATCCTAAATTCGAAACGTTTGTACATACATACAAACAACAACAAAAAAACATGCTGACGTGTGGTGGGGCATTATTTCGTCTCATCTCATCTTCAGGTGGCGACGATTATGTTGTTTGTCGGGTTGAACGTGGCGTTGTTCTCCACGGTGCTTCTGGTCATACAATTCGCGGTCAAGGAAGATTACCGGGTGAACGTCCTCGGCTGGATTTGCGTCGGCTTTGCCGTCGGCGTCTTCGCCGCACCTTTGAGCGTCATGGCCACGGTGATCAAGACGCGAAGTGTGGAGTTCATGCCCTTCTCTCTTTCCTTCTTCCTCACGTTGAGCGCCGTCGTGTGGTTTGGCTACGGAGTTTTCATCCACGACCTTCGTGTCGCGGTAAGAACTCCAAAATGGGAATGGGCCCAAATATTAATTTTTGGGCTTCTGATATTAACCGGGCTTTTTTTTCGGTGTCTGGCAGTGTCCGAACGTGATAGGCTTCGTGTTTGGGCTGGCCCAAATGACGCTCTACGCGGTTTACAGAAACGCCCACATCGCCGACCAGAAGAAAGAGAACGAAAAGAAGCTTCAGCTACAGGATAGTAAGTTGCCCGTGAAGATGAAGAGCATTCACCGGAGGAGCGGCCTGGGTACGCCGGAGGTTCACCCGGTCGACGGACAGAGCAACGACGACGAGGAAAGGGACGACGGAGACGAAGGTCGCGGCAAGGGTAACAGTAACGGTGGTGGGGGAATTAGGAGGGACCAAGATGACTCTCCAGTTTGAAAGTTGCCAAGTCAACAAACGAAAGAAGCTTCATCATCAATTGTATCCTAATATTAAAAAAAAAAAGCAACGATATTACTTACTCTTTGTACCTCTTAATTTTTTTCTTCGTTTTTTCCTTCTTTTATTTTCTGGGTTATAATTCTAAACAAGAAGCTAATGATCATCAGTTGTACGTACGTACTTTTGTTCCTTTTTTTTTTCTTGCTTATGGTAATTTTGTACTTTGTTTTCTTTTAAATGTAAGATGGGGGAACAATTTAGTATATATATAATCTTTGCAGATCTTTGGATTACTTCACTTTTTCGTTCACTTAATTCACAATAAGTCGATGCTTTATTGGTTTGTTTCGTTCATCTATCCATCTAAGTTTACAAATAAAATTGTGTAAATATTGTGAAAGTCTTATATATATATGCTCAATTAAGTCATGCACATTTACTTTGTTGTGTATGATATTTAATGACGTGAAAAAATTATTACTCATTTGAAACCAAACTTTTTATATTTCCTAAATTTTTCGTCTGTTTTTACTAGTTTTGCATCAATAAACACTATTTTCGTTGGCCTTGCGTCTTGCCCTGTTGTCATACAAGACAAGTTCCAATAGCTGCTTTAAATACTAAGAACTTCGTGTCCATCCAGTCAGTAACCAAAAAAGTAGCTAATAGTATAGTTAGTAAAATACGATACGGGAAAGTTACGTATAAAATATGTACGGGTATTTTACTTCATTTCTAAGTTAATGTTACGTTTAATAGTATGTTAATAGTCATAAATATATTAAATTAATTATTTTAAAAATAATTAAATATAAAAATAATTGTAAAGAACAATTTGATCTATTAAATACGGATATTAAACGTGTCATACGGGTTTTATATGTGTTTAGTACGGGAACCATCAAATGAACGGGGGAAAATGAAACGGCTTGACAATAATACGGATATGGAAGTTTTAAATAGATAAAGTACGTACGGGTACATATACGTGTATTAAATTGAGTATTTCTCTCGCATTATTTGGATGGGGATGTGGACTAGGATTTTAACACAATTCCTCATATTCTTGGATTTTATTACAATTTTGTTTGGACAGACTCCAAAAGATGGTGAATTTGATCATGCAGAATTTCAAAAATTCTGCAATTGAAGGATTTCAAAATAGTAAACCCTCATGAAATTTGAAATATTATTTTTTTCTCCAACTCTAACTCTTCTACCCATTCTCTTCCTCTCCTTCCAAGTTCCAACCCCCAATCTGAAAATGGCCACCTCCTTCAACATTCTCCAACCTCTCCTCCTCCGTCGTCTTCCGACCTCTGATGTGTCCTCTTCCACCGTCCTTTGACCTGTCCCCTTCCACTGTCTCTGAACAAATCCTAAAAGAAGCCAAGAAGCAAAAGCGAGACTCCACCACCCATAGCAAATACACCGTACTCCTGACGTGCTCCCACCACCGTAGTTTTTTCCAAGCCGACTATGAAATTATGTTCTTCGATTGATTGCATCTAGGTTCTTCGAGTTTTGGATTCTCCGATTAATTGCATCTGGTGTAGGGTTTCGAACAACAACGATGATTTATGAAACTCGAACCGGAGCTGGGACTTTGAATGGCGGCGATGTCTAGTTGTAAGTCGAGAGAGTGGTGAATTCAGGGTTTAAGAAATCTTCTTCTTCCTAGTTTTCATCAACGACGGAAGCGAAAGGGAGGACAATGATGATGATGATTTTGACCTCCTTTGGGTCTCTGGAAGACGATGATCTGATGATTTCCGTTCTCCGCTCATCTGCAATTTAGAGAAAGATGGATGAAGAAGACGAACAATAAAGTACAAAATGACTTCGAACATTTTTTGGTTAAATCCCTTATATGTAAACAAACATGTTTAACTCAATTCCTTTATATAAGATAAATAGTTTTTAAGTGAGCAATTTGAGGCTCTCTAAAACAAATCTCCCATCCAAACGCCTTCACTTCACAACTTGAACATGTTAGTTAAAAGTTTCCAATAAACACTTTCACAAGCTCAAGAAAGAAACGAGCTTAGTCGCCTCTCTTTTATTAAATGAACCATTCATAATGAGCTATATTGTTGATTCTACAACAGACACTGAATACACTTCTTCTGCAGAAGAAGAATTTCGGAATTGAGACTTGGGCAATCCCACCATAATCAATGAAGATTGGTACGGACATATTTGTAGAGAAATGTCAATTTTCCACTATTTCCATTTCAAGTTAAAGATAGGAGAATAAGTTTATCATCAAAAGAAAAAGAAACATCTATGGCAAAGGGATAGAAAGAAAGGCAGTACAACAATGAACCCAGTTCTTGTCTATGTTTAAAAATGTTGTAAAATACTTGTCTTTCTATGTTTCTCTCCTCTTCCCATTCCCATTCCCATTCCCATATCTCTTTCTCTCTCACTCTCTCACTCTCCCCCTGTCCATTTCTCATTCCTAAACTAATAATAATGTATGAATTCCCTCCTGCAGTTAGCTATTCACAGTCTCCATACTCCGAAAGCAAAAAGGAAAGAAACCAAAACAAAACAGAATAACTAACACAATAGAAAATCCGGGTTGATACAAGCTCGTAGTCAGCCATTGCTTCCACCTCCTTTTGAGCTCCCCTGCGCACTATGTCGCCTCTTTTCTCGCCAATTCTCCCCCTACATCTTTGCTTCAACCACATCCCTTTCTCTGTTCGAATCCCGGGTTGTTGCCACCTCGGCAGCAGGGTCTCTAGACGAATCAAACCCATTGAGGTCCCATCTGCGTCCGGACCCACCACCTCCATCCTTGGCCCTCGAGAGAAACCCACCTCTGACTATCACCACTACCATTTTCATTTGCTTTCTACGTTGAGTTAGCCAGGTAGGACAATATCGTGACCACATCACCAATTAAAGCTGCAGCCTATTCTTGAATGCACATCGATGCCACGGCTAGAGCATGGTAGAGCCCCCTCACCGGGTATCGCCCTTGTAGCCTCGGATCAGCCATCTTTGAGAACTTGTTGCGGTCATTGAACAATGGACGTGCCTAAAGAAAAGAGACCTCATCAGCCACATAAAAAACATACCGAGAACCCAAAACCCGCTAAGGAGTCACTAGTTGAAAGTTTGAAACTGTTGACTCATGGAGCACAAATCGATTGAAGGACGCCCTAACTTGTGTTTATTACAATATAGAGTTTAGAGTCCCAACAACATCATAGTTAATTGAGTATCTAAGACCTGGATCCTTACAATCAAAGTATTGAATACCAAACGAAAGGGAATACCATCTATTGGCAAGAAAATCTGATTGGTTAACCGATCAATCGAATTCAACAACTGGTCTAAAGTGGGTTTTCATTGGGCCACCCTTACAACATGACCAACATGAAATAGATGGAAACTTTTGACTTACCCATGTGACAAGGTTCTGATCTCTGTGAGGCCTGCTCCTATAAATGGATTAACGTCCAGTGATAAGCTCAAGGAAGACTATTCCAAAGGTGTACACGTCGGATTTGATAGTCAGTTGACCAGTCATGGCATATTCAGCAGCACGGTAACCGTATGTGCCCATCACTCGGGTGGAGACGTGTGACTTGTCACCAGTGGGGCCCAGCTTTGCTAGCCCAAAATCAGATAGCTTAGGATGGAATCCTTCATGTAGAAGGATGTTCGACGACTTGAAGTCACGGTGAATCATCGGAGGGGCCGCCTTGTCATGGAGATACTCCAACCCTTTGGCTGCTCCTGCTGCTATCTTGATCATTCGAGTGTTCCAATCTAAAGGTTCCTTCTCAGGTGGAAGATCTGCACACGGAGAGAAATTAAAAATAGCACAGACAACCTGAGAACACAGATCTTTACTATCAAACTGAATTAGTTAAAGAAGACACTCAAGAATCGAAACTTTGCTTTCACTTTGTAAGAGTTTCTGTTTCTTCCCTTCTATATAAGCAAAATTTCTCTCTGCACATAAAGGATCTTTGCCTAAGCTGAAACCAAATCAGTTGATCCATCATAGATTTTGGTCCATGTCATATCCCCATTCCTCACAACTTTTGGTACTAATGACTTGTGACTGCACAAAATAGATACCCAATTCTCAAAGATTGCAACTTTTAACAGAAGCGGTTAGTTACCATGAAGATGATCTTCAAGCGAACCGAAGGGCATGAACTCATAGACAAGCAGACGCTGATCACCATCAGCACAATAACCAATCAGGCTCACGAGATTGGGATGGTGTAAAAGACTAAGCATTAGAACCTCCACCAAAAATTCTCTATTCCCTTGCAGGCCATTTCTATCTAATTGCTTCACAGCCACAACCTGCCAAATTGAGAACAAAATTTAGGAAGCAACAACAATTAACCTAAACCCTAGTTCAGACCTCATTTTCTAAGTTCCATGGTCATACAAAGAATTACCTTACCAATGGTCTCAAGACGCCCTTTATACACACGACCAAAGCCACCTTCTCCTAGGAAAGACTCTGGCTTGAAATTCTTTGTGGCGGTAGCAAGCTCCCGAAAAGTGAAAATATGAGCTGCTATATTTACAGCAGATCCATCCTGGGGAGATGGTAACCGTAACTCCCTTTTGGATAGACCAAGGCTTCTTGATCTAAGACTTTCGGATCCTGTACATTCACCAAGATTGGAACTTTCAACTACATCATACACAAATATCATGGTGTACTCCAATTGTTACAGTCCACAAAAGCATATGATCCATTAATAGCATAGTTTTTTTTGTTAAGATGACAAGTGATAAAAACAAGTTAAAAGATAGGAGTTTGGTAGTTATGGAAGACAGAAAGTGACTGAAAATGGGCAAAACTGAATCAACCCCTTATTTCAAACATCCACACATCCAAATCTAAATCTGATGGAGACTACGAACACCTTATTAGTACAATACAATACAAAACATTTTCCCAACTTAAGCTCGAATCCATGAAATCTCAAGTATTCAGGTCAAATCAAAGCTTAAAAGCAGTAAAAGAACCTGCAATATCTATGCAAATCAATCAAACTCTAACCAAAAGACAACTATATATTCCCAATTTCCAAACAAAGTTTCAAAGTTTTCACCAGTTGGTATCCAAATTATGGTCGAAATGGTTAATGATCTTTATTGCTCCATTGTGTGCAGTTAAACAAACTAGAATTTCTTATCCATAAGATCCATTAATGACAGAGTTTCTGGTTTCCATGAATCCAAACCTTATCCTATTCAAAAGGAAAATATCTGATTTTGATTGTCGTAGAAGATAAGCTAAACCATAAGAATATCAAAATTGAATGAGAATTCCTATCACTAACAACCAGACATCCCATAAATCCAAATCTGAAGAAAGAACTACAAGCACAATAAGCAAATTACAATCTCAAATCACAAGTAATTCGTTCAAAACCAGAAGACAATTTGGAAATATTTGAAGCGACAGTAGGCATGGAAGTTGGCTTTCAATCATCGGACTTCTCGTTTTGATTCAGTGTCTCCTCTTCCTTCGACGAATCGAAACATGGGAAGCAACTCATTTTTCCTTTCTCCCCAAGACAAAGTCATAGACCAAGTCTTTCCAACCTTACAATTCCTAGAAAACAAAAATCCAATCTCTTCTCTTCCCATTTTTTTTTTTAATTTACTCAATCAGAAATCATAGCATCCTAGAAAATTTCCTCTTCTAGGTAAACCCACGACAAATCAATAACCTCGGAGCTAACTCTATCTTCCTCACTCTTTCTCTCTCTCTCCCTCCACCCAATAAGCCAAACCAGAAAGAAGGAATTCGTGCTGGGAAGCGGCAACAACAACTACATAAAAAACATAGTTTTTCTTTTCAGCTGTTTGGAATTGAAACTTTGTAAAGGAAAGACTTTTCCTTTTTTTCTTTACGGGAAAGATTAGGAAGGAGGAGATGGTGGTAGTGAAATGAAGGATCTTGAAGGAGAGAAAGAGAGCCGGCTTTGATGTACTGTTTATGGCTTTCCTCCAAAGAGTAAAAATTGCCCCACTACTGCTACCCGCTGTATAAATGAGTCATTCTCTTATATATACAACTCTCTCTCCTTTGACCGAAAATGGTTTCTCACTTTGCCAATTTTGAAAATCTAACGCGACCCATAATTTCCGTTGGAAAAAAACACACACGGTTAGAACTAGAACTCCACACTGTGTGGTGGATTTTGTCATTTTGTGCATATCAATTAGGGGTCGTTTGGATGGATCATTTTGATGAGGTAATTTGATACAATTGACTCAAAATGAGACAATTGGGTACAATTATCTCATTTGGCTGCCAAAAAGCAAAACGAACCAATTTGAACCGGAGAAATCACAATTGACCCATTATGGATCAATTGAAAATACCTGGGGTATGGGGAGGTAATTACAATTGACCCGTTTCTTTGTACCATCTTTCCAATTATGGCCCTTTATTTCCTCCTTTCTCTCTGCAGACACAACCCTTCTCTTTCTTTTCTTTTTTTTCTCTTTCTCTGCGACGAAGACCCATCTTCCTCTCTTCTTCTATTTCCTTTTCTCTCTTGGCTTCTCTTCTTCTCTTTCTGTCCCTCTATGGCAGCCGACCTTCGATTGTTCGATCGACAACTCCGACCAGAACAGAAAACAGATCTGAAATGTCAAGAATCCGGGGTAGCCGCTGGCGACTGACTGGTCTTCTTGGGTCTTGCGACCAGAGAAAAGGGATTTTGGTTCGTTCCTCTAAGCAAAGGTGATGAAGCTTCGCTTTCCAGCAATCCTCGTTCCTATAAGCAGCACCGAGTCTGGATTCTTTCTATTTCAGAGAAATCTGATTGCTTGATTGGAAGAGTTCTTTGGATTGGTTTTTGGCATTTGGTTCGTTGCATGTGGGGTTCTAAGAGGAGTAGGAGTTTGATTTTTTCCGCATAGATTTCTGTTTCGATTTTTTCGTTGATTTCTGTCTCGATTTCGTTTATGGGTGTTATGAAACCCAGAATCAGAAAGTAAAACTTAGAGAAGACAAGGGTAAATTGGTATTTCCCCAAAAATGCCCCCTACATTTCTCCATATTAAAAACCGTTCCAAACGATACATTGTGGGCAAATTTTCCAATTGAATTGACTCATTTTCTAAAATGGATCTTTTGATCCAAATTGACTCATTTTGAGAATGATCAATCCAAACGACCCCTTAGTTCTTTATCTACAAAATTAACAAAAGATGAAATTATATTCAATTTTTAGCATGGTTGAGTAAATTACTATAAATTATAGTTGAACTTATCCTAGTCAAAGAAATAATTGGGTTGTTTAATTATTTGTGAATATTGTTTTGTTAAAATAGGAACGAAAGTATACTAGTTCAAAGTTGATTAGTTTTAACTTGATATTGAATCTCCAATAACCTTGAAATCTCCTTCAATTAATGAGCTTCTATAATCCTAGCTCTAAGCACCAGGGAAAAACTTAAGGGCCTGTTTACTTTCATTTCTGTTTCCTGTTTTTGAGAAAACAGATGTTGAAAACAGGTGAAAACAACATTTTGTCGTTTCCGAAAACAGCAGGAAGTTGCCACTTTCTGTTTTCATAGTTGAAAACGAATAGAAAACAGAATGAAAAGTAAACAAGTTTTCTCATTTCGGTTGCCAAATTTATCACATGAAAACAGAAAACTGGAAACGAAAATGAAAGTGAACAAGGCCTTATTTTAACGTCACCAATTCGCTCATAATATATCTTGGATATTGTTATAAGAAATTTAATGTTCCATGACCATCCCTCCCAACACATATTATTATTATTATTATTATTATTATTATGGTGACATAAATAACAAAGTTAAGCATTAACAAATAGAAGGAAAAAGAAAATGCACAAGGAGCTAGCTGGACCTGAACAAACCCTATTGCACAAAGAAAACAACCACAAGCATAGTCAGAAAAAGGCAATGACAGAGAACAAAAACAAAAAGACAAACAGGGCATGCAAAGCCAGGGCTTCAGCAGCCAAAGCAAGCACCACCACACATCAGTATGAACTGTATCTTTGGCCACAACTAGAAAATAGAGCAATCCTCTAATCAACCATGTTGTTTACACCATGATCCGGGATCAGATGTGTCTTAAGCATTAACTGTAAACCATCCCCCAAGAGTGTTGCGATCAACCTTCTTCCCGCAAACTAATCGACTTGTGATCTGGGCACCAATTCTGTAGGCGAGCACATTAAGAGGAGAAGCTTTTTCCTCAAATATTCTAGAATTTCTCTCAATCCTAATAGACCAGCAAACGACATGGAGGAGGACTCTTGTGCACCACTAGGACGGATTCTTGGGCTTTTGGTAAGGCCACAATACAATAAGATTGGTAATGGTCCCTTGAATTCTAGTCTCGATCCTGGAAAAATTCCCAATGATCCTCCAGACGTCCCCGGAAAATCTAGAGTGCAAGAAAATGTGATTAACACTCTCCTCCTCTTCTTGACAAAGCTCACATCTATTCGGTAAAAGCCAACCTCCCTTCTTCAGGGCATCTTGGGTGATGATCCATTCATGGTAGGAAGTCTACAAGAAGAAGCAAATCTTGAGGCAACACCACTTAGGATGGGAAGGATGCTACTTCAGGGTACCTCTTCTTGATTCATGCTTAGTATATTAATTTCGCAGTGAAGCCCGTCACAAGTTATCTGGCTATACCTGTAGCAAGATAAGACGATAGGTTTTCGAGTAAAAATAATAAGCTCTCTCTCTCTCTCTCTCTCTGCCCCACCTAAGTGTGTATTTTTATGTCAATAACCCAGGTACCTCTCTCATCCATACTTCAGAAGTTGTCAATGACTCGGTTGTTAAAGATGACAACAACTGTGGCAACCCTTGTGAAGATATCAGCGAGTCTAATTCCATCAATCCACCGATCAAACCATAAAGAGTTCCAGGTGCTACCATCTTTGACATGTGCAAAATTATAGAACCGGCCCTTTAGCTTGTTGATTTTAGCCCACAGACTCCATCTGATACTGCCTCTATAATCTCCCGTATCCACTCAGAGATGGGATTGGGATACTTGATGCTGATCAAAGTCCACCAACACGCATCCTTTTCAAGAGCAAACCGCCAAAACCATTTAGTGAGAAGGGATTGGTTTCTACATTCCAAGTTCAGGATTCCCAACCCTCCTTTATCCTTAGCGGGTTTGCAAGTATCCCAAGCAATCAGATAGAGTCTCTTCTTCTCTTGCGTGCCCGGCCAGATAAAGTTGCGTTGTACCTTCTCGATCATTTCAATAACCGCCTTTGGGACTCTAAACAGATAAGCAAGGTAAAGGGGCTGACTTGCTAAGCAAGCATTACTAAGCACAATCCTTCCACCTGTCAAGAGATACCGGCCTTTCCATCCCTCGAGTTTTCTTTACAAGTTAAAAGCTATTGAATTTCAAATGCCGTTTGTTGCAGGTGCTAAGCCCATGTAGAAAGTTGGGAGAAATTCCCACTCGCAACCAATAATCTCAGCCATCCTGTCAAGACCTTCTACATCACCCACATAAAACAATATGTTTTTCTCTAATTTTATCTCAGTCCAGTAATACTTCGGAAAAAACCAAGGCTGCTGAGATATTATGAAGTCGTCCTCAGTAGCATCGCATAATAAGATCACGTCGTTTGCATAAAGAAGGTTAGTCACTTCTCCCCTCCTTCTAATTTTGTCCATACAGAAACCTGAAATTAAGCCGACATTGCTCATTTGCTTAGAATTTAAGAGATGACATCCTTTACCATGTCAAACAGGGGAGAGCGGTTCTTCTTGTTTCACACATCTTCCCATGTCAAAGAAACCAGCAACCTTCTCATTAACCAGAACCGAAAACTTAGAGGACAAAATAATGCCCATAGTCCATCTCTGAACTCTCTTATTCAGCCCTGTTGTTGCAAGAACTTTCCCCTAGAAGTCACAACTCACACTATCAAATGGTCGCTCGATGTCAAGCTTGAGAACACTTTCGGGCTTGCCACTTCTTCTTCGGCTATCCAGCATTTCGTTTGCCAAAAGCCCGACCTGGTTAATCTGTCGTCCCTTAATACCTACAAATTCATTTCTTACGATAGAGCGATGCATAAAACTAGGATTTCAAGATTATCTTGTTGAGACTTCTCACCAAACTAATCGGTCTGAAATCCTTAACCTCCTCCACCGAATCCTTCTTGGGAACCAAGCAAATGAAGGCATGACCAATGCTTTTAACCAGCTTCCATGTGAAGAAAAACTCATGAAGGACAGACAGGAGATCACTTTTAATAACACGTAAACCCTTTTTAAAGAACTCAAGAGTATATCCATCAAACCCGGGTGCATTGTCACCGTCACAGCTTACAATAACCCTCCATATTTCATCTTCACTAAAAGGTCTGGACAGTCTATAGTTTTCATCTAGGTTGAACAAAGTGCTTTTGTATATGCAAGGCAAGGGTCTGTTTGATTGTTTTTCCTTGAATGATTCTCTGAAATGATCCACAAAAGCCATTCTAATCCCCTACGGATTTGTAATAGTATTGCCATTGACCTTGATGTATCTCACCGTCTTCCTTCTCTTGTTGTTGCTCGTGATCTTATGAAAGAATGATGTGTTCTTGTCACCGACTGACAACCAAAGTTCCCTTAATTTTTGGTCTCCATGCAATCTCTTCCATTAGCAATGTCTTTTCCAGATTACATCCCAGCAGATTTCGTTGCACACTCAGACCTTCAGAGATGGGGCCTTATTCCTCCAATTGATCAACGACTCTAATCTTCCCAAGTAAGTCAACAATCTTCATCTTAACTCTCTCATAAACCTTCTTATTCCCATCCTTAATCTGGAATTTCGATTGCCAGAGCATTAGTCCGAAGATGAACAACCCCCATGCTCATTAATCGACACGTTCCACTATGAGATCCCTTATGACAGACAAACTATCTAAATACAATTGTCACACGTATTTTATATTTATTCTTATTTTATCACAATTTCAAATAGAATACAAAAAAAGACTAGAAAGATACTTGAGAGAAGAAACTAGATCAAAAGAATTTACAAGTAAAAGAATGAAATCCAAAATCCAAAGTCAATCAGGTGAATTTTCAGAAACCAAAAAGACTAATTAACCAAACAAATAAAGGCCAATACTACGGTGTCGCAGTAAAAATTGCGGCCCCGGTGCCTCCGCCTCTGATTGGTCCACGCGAGCAATGACATGGCATTGGTTGTGTTATTCAATCCAAGCCCATGAACCGGGCGAAGTTGCTTTTGGCTGAAGAGACAGAGATTTTTGTTTCCGTCTTCCATCTCTCTGGATTCGTTTATCATTTTAATGTTTCTTTTCCCACTATTTTTTTTTTTGCCAAAATTTCTTTTCCCACTAATTAATTTAGAATTCATGTGACTTTTGTTTTACAGTAGAGAAAAAAAAAATAGAAAAAGGAAATCCGGATTTCCGAGACGTCTTCCATCTCTTTGCCGTCGATTGGCTCTCCAATCTTTTCCACGTTCACCGTATTCATTCTGTATTCTGTTTCGGTAAAACAAATACGAACAATCCTCATTCTGACCGGATGTCGGCTTCATCGAACTGCTATGCCGTCACCTATCAGACCATCTGAAGGCGAAGAAAAAGGAAACCGCCTCCCGCTGAGTCGTCCCCCTCGCTCAACAGTCAACACTCTCCATGTTGGAATCGTGGAAATTGAATCCGAGTTCTTCAGCACAGTGACCAGTCTGTATAGTGCGCGACTGCGCTTGGCTCTTTCCGTTTTTGGCAGTAGGGCTTATTTGTGTATAAGGAAATTATGTTTGTAGAGCTTTTCCTTCCCATTCGTTGTGTTTGTGTACAAACAGATTCAGAGGTACTTGACAGTGATTGGGCAGAAAACAAGAGGCCAAGTTTTTTGTTGGGCAGAAAAGTTGAGAAGGAAAGTAGATTTGAGGAATTCTGCACAACACAAGACGAATTTATATATGGGGTTATTTCTTCCACCTTGGCAGCAATCAGTTCTCTCTAACAAAGACTACATCAGGACATTGAAGAGGCGTGTAATTAGCCACGTTTCAGCAAGTAGAAGCTTTGCAAGCTGTTCATCACTGTCATTCTAAGCTGACTTTTGATTCTTTGAAAGTTGTGGACTTTTGATTGTACTCTCACCTACCAGCACCAACTTGACAGCAATGCTTGTAACTTTTTATCCCAGCAAATGGTTCTATATCGAAAGCTCTCTATTGTGAGACTGATTGTTGTATTGGGGATAATGTTGCAATTTTTTAGGCTATCTCATTATGCGAACTCATGTCGAGAAAATTTTATTGAAAGCTTCTATAATACTGATCCTTGATGGAACTCCCATGAAAATGATCCAAGAAGCTGATTATAAGTAAAGTTTGGTGAAAGCACTCCCTACCATTATGTTTAATCTCAGCCTGCAATTACCACTAGTCATTTACACTTTTAGAAAAGCAAATTCAACAAAAGTTGGAACAATTACAATAAGAACATACAGTACTCTACACCCTCAAATTCTACAGCTTATGGGAATTCATAAATGGTACTCATCTTCTATTTACTCATCAGTCTTATTATGCATGCAACATCTAGGTTTCTCTTCTCATGGCAACACTACCGGCGAGATGAATCCACCAACTCTAAAATGATCATATAGCTATTTCAGGACGCGTATACTTTGACTGCACTATCGTCTTCCTCAAGTCTTCAGACCTCATGCTTTTCATGTTGTAATCATATGGCAGTTTCATCAAATCTGGATTAGACATCATCTGCAAAATAAGCGACAAGTGAATACCAATTGGTACTGAAAAAAGTACACAAACTGGCAACCCATAAGAATGATATCTGTTACACGAAACAAATCTGAGATTGCCAGAGTGAATTACACTTAAAGTGTCCAGGTTGTGACAAGAAGAAGCATAAGAAGCTACAATCCTTAACTAAAAAGAACTACTTCATTCTTTCTTATAAGGATTTCTCAATTTTCTGACAGAAAAGGGAGCTAGATGGAACAAACCATCACTATCCTAAAAAATCACATAGAAAATTTTCGATTTCAAACATTTATAACAACCAATTTTCTTCCAAACCAAAATCTAAGCTACAGAACAACCAGAAGAGGCAAGCTTTAATCAGAAAAACTCCCAAGTCAAGAGCTGGAGTCAGGTAAGAGTAGAGCTCTGGAGCAGTGACGAGGTATGAATTAGCATGTTTCTGCTGGTGGCGAGGAATGTCCCGAGGATCATGACAATGAACTTCAATCGAGTTTTGGGATACCGTGAACAACACAAAATGAAATTCACAGGGTTTTGAACAAACATAAAACCCAGAAACAAGAACTAATTAAAAGATATAAGAAAGAACCTTGGATACGTGGCCCCCCTCCGCCGACTGAAAGAAGTGATCAAGTTGAGAAGCGAATTACCAACAACCGCTGCCAACCATTCAGATCAGTGCATGATTGACGCCACCGCCGATGTCGGCTACCTTCATCTAACCCATTGTCAACGAAGTTGTAAGTGGTTTCCCGCCTACTTGTATGAGCAAAAAATAGCCCCTAATATTGCAGGGAATTGAGGAAGACAATGATTAATGGAGGCTGATGGAAGAGACTGGAGATTGGATTAGCAAAGGAAAAGTCGCCGGAGTGCGAGACAGACGATGATGTTTGGTCGGGGTTTCGTTTTGTGTTGTTTTAGGTTACTGGAGAAAAACAATTGAAGAGAAAATTCAGATGAAAAAATGAATTACTGGAAGAAAATAACGCAGAAGAGAAGACAGAAGAGAGGACCGTCTGATTGGGTGAATGATGGGTTTGGACCATCGGGTTTGAACCTACGTTTATTAAACTAAACCAGTGCCACATCAGCTCCATGTAGCCCAATCAGAAAAGGCGTCACCGGTGCCACACTTTTTAGAACGGCATCGAACACATATAAAACGGCGTACGTGGGCCACACGGCCCACATGGCTGGAAGACTGGCACCCAAAGCTATTAGGATTTAGGAAGGCGCGACCCGAAACCTCGCGCCATTTCCGCTCGCTGAAGGAGATACCGGACAGAAGTTTCAACCTTCAAGCCCCAAGAATGGCGATCTGCTCTCCAATCCCTCTCAAGCTCCTCGTCAAAACTCGCTCTGTCGTTTGCCTCTCTTCCTGCCACCGCCGTCTCCTCTCTACTGAAATTACCCCCGTCGTTTCTCCACCACAGCCGCCGGCGGAACAGGAAGCTCCGGTAATAAAGCAAGCTTTGGAGATCCTTCGGAGGCCGGAAAAAGAATGGGATGCAGCGCAACTGAATCAAATCCTCTTCTCCGCTTCCCCTTTCTTCCTCTTCAAAATCGCCCGCCGGTTGCCGTCTTCCTCGCAAGCTCTCAAATTCCTGCAGTTCCTCCGACAGAGCAGCAGCGACCCTTCGCCGCCGGATGAACGATCGCTATCTCACGCGTTGCAGGCTGTCTTCGAGCTCGCTAGTCGGGAACCCAATTCGACACAGAGCGTCTACGAGGTTTACACGGCTTCCAGGGATTTGGGCGTCCAACTTACCCCAAATGCCGCCGCGATTCTCCTCCGATGCCTGGGGAGAAACGGGATGATGAGCGAAGCCGAGTCTTTCTTCAACGGGTTCGATTCGGCGGTCAAGAATTCGCATGTTCGCAATGTGTGGATCAAATTGCTGCTCCAATCAGGTCGTTTCGATGACGCACTCAAGGTGCTCGACGAAATGCTCCAACCAAGTACAACCTCCGACTGCAAAGTCGATGACTTCACAGCAGCTCAGTTTTTCACGTTTTTCTTGAATTGGAGGAGCCACGGGAGGCTAATACCCGAAGAAGAGATGATCGATTTGGTGTTGAAATTCGCTCGACTCGGTGTCTTCCCCACCTCGGTTTGGACTTCTCAGTTCGTCGCCATGCTGTCTTGGAAGCGCAAAATAAACTCTGCTTGGAATCTCTTAGATGAACTAATGAAGTTAGAAGCTCCAGTTGATGCAGCTCCTTGCAATGCCTTGTTGATAGGGCTAGGAAAAGAGATGGACATTAAAAAAATGAACGCAGTTATGGTGAAGATGAAGGAAGCAGAAATTCAGCCAGACGTGGTCACATTCGGGATTCTCATCAACCATCTCTGCAAGCACAGGAGACTAGATCAAGCACTTGAGGTGCTCGACAAAATGCAGGGGGAGATGTCAATTGAACCAGATGTCGTGATCTTCAACACCATAATTGATGGGCTCTCCAAAGTCGGCAGGCAAGAAGAAGCATTTGAATTGGTCGAGAAAATGAAATCTCAACACCGAGGCTGCTCCCCCAACACAGTCACCTACAACTGCTTGATTGACGGATTCTGTAAAGCAGGCGAGATCGACAAAGGGATCAACTTATTCCACGAGATGCAGGAAATGGAACTCGTTCCTAATGCCATCACGGTTAACACTCTAGTCCACGGGATGTGCATGTATGGAAGAACAAGCAATGCAGTTCGGTTCTTCTATGAGATGAGAAGCAAAGGCCTTTGGGGCAATGCAGTTAGCTACACCTCGTTGATCGATGCCTTCTGTAAAGTGAACAACATCGCCAGAGCGATTGAGATCTTTGATGAAATGGTTACAGATGGGTTCCCTCCTGATTCATACGTATACTACACTTTGATCTCAGGGTTGACCAGAGCTGGAAGAATGAACGAGGCGTTGACCTACTTCCAGACCTTAAAAGATTCTGGGTTCTCCCCTGACGTAGTCTGCTACAATGTCTTGATCTCAGGCCTATTCAATACAAACAAGGCTGACAAGGCCCGAGAGATCTTTGAAGAAATGGAAAAGGCTGGTGCTAGACCAGATGGTGTGACCTACAACACCCTGATCGCTTATCACGCGAAAGATGGAAACTTTATCGAAGCACGGAAGCTACTGAAGAAGATGGTTAAAGAAGGCCACGTTCCTACTGTGGTAACTTATGGAGCTTTGATCCATGCTTACTGCTTGAACCAGAAGGTGAACGAAGCAATGGCTTTGTTCAAGGAGCTAAGGGGTTCATCGAAGGTGACTCCGAATGGTGTGATCTACAACATATTAATAGATTGCTTGTGCAAGAAGCAAGATGTGCAGCAGGCACTTGCGTTGATGGATGATATGGAGGTGAGAGGAGCGAAGGCGAGTGCCAATACGTTTAATGCGGTGTTTAGGGCTTTAAGGGAAGAGAGGATGGTGAATAAAGCGTTTGAGTTGATGGATAGAATGGTTAGACAAGGTATTAATCCTGATTACATGACGATGGATATTTTGACCGAGTGGTTGTCGGGAATTGGTGAGATGGAGAAGTTGAGGAGGTTTGTTGAAGGGTGTACTGTCTCTGAAGGTGATCATGCTGCTGGTGGTGCTGCTGCTGCTGCTGCATCATAGCATTTGCTCTTGAAGATCCCTTCTTGGCTTTGAAATTAGGGCCGCTTTTAGTGGTTTCATAATAATCAGTAAGTGATGTTGGTTTCATTCTGTAGTGGGCATGATTTGGAATAGGGTTTCATTTTGTTCTTATTGCTAGAACAAACTCTTGAGAGATGTGAGAGCGCTCGGTGCCTGACGTGTATTTGCTTGAGCTAGTGTGTGTTATAGTTGATTTTGTATTATGCAGCAATCGTTTCCATTATTCATTAATTTAGTTCGGCCCACGTACTTAAACATCAGTCTTCGATCGTACAAGGTTGACTACGTGTATTTCGTAGCGCTGCAACTAATGATGTATCATTAATAAATATATTGAGGTTAGTAGCGGATTAGCTTTTATTTGACTTATCACTTATATTTACGGCTCTCCTTTTTTTCTGGATTACTGGGGTATTTACAGTTGGAAACCTTGTACAGTTGTACTTGGGAAATCAGGGATGTTGCTTTTCTTGACTCTTCTGCAGTAGAATACGGTTCTTCCTTACTCTTTTTTCTTTTTTCTTTTTTTACAGTAAGAATCATCTTTTATTCCATTACCAGTACGAAGAAATCGGTTACAAATCTCAAAGGAGATCAGAAATTAGATCAAGAACACTAATCCAGTTAACTGGGAGAGAAGATCTAGCAAGAGATCGCGCAACCCAATCTGCTCTGACATTACAATTTCGCGACACAGCGTGACCTTGATTTGAGGGTTTGCTCTCAGGATTGAAACCATTGATCCAATCCCGGCTGCTCCTCGCCATGGCCAATATCAAGGTTCTTGTTTAAGAGCTTTAACTAACGTCTGGCAGTCAGACTGGACAACACATTCAGTGCCATATTCTTGAGCTAATTTGAGACCTTCCAAGAGAGCTTTTGTTTCGGCTTCGAACGGGGTGGAACAAAGGAGGGTGTCAGCTCGCCCGTCACACACTTGCCCATGGTGGTTAATGACAACAACACCATATGCCGCCGGCTGGGAGTCGTTTAAGAACGACCCATCACAGTGAATCACAAAATTATGATTGCTTGGCGGTGGAGAGGTGAGTGAGTGGGCTCCCCTGAGCTGAGTAGAGGGCGAGTTAAAGGGGGGGGGGTGCCCTTGGACACGTCGTCCATTTAGTAAAATCCTTGTACGTTCTCATAATTACATTCGGATGCCAAGGGATCCGATTCTTGAACACACACTCATTTCTTGCCTTCCAAATATTCCAGCATAGGAAGATAACATGGGACATGGCTCCTGGGAGGATAACATCCTTGATAAAGTACAACCAGTCAAGGAAGCCAGTAGACTGAGCCGGCAAAGGGAGGGAAGGGAAGATAGCATTCCAAGAATCTCTTGCGTGGTCACACAAGAAAAGGCAGTGAAGGAGGGACTCAATGGGGCATTGGCACACTTGACACGTTGAGCTAGGAGAGCAATTCCTCTTAAAAAGTTTCTCTTTAGTAGCAAGGCCGTTCTTTGAGCACCTCTAAACGAAGAACTTAAGTTTTGGAGGGATATCAAGGTTCCACATCCATTTCCATTTCTCCACACTGTCCATCGTCTGGGGTTCCGTTGAAGATAACTGCACCGCATGGTATGCCGTTTTAACAATGAAGTTTCCTTTCTCATTCAATTTCCAAGCCCATAAATCCTTAGACTCAATCTCCCCAATGGGAATTTTCAAAATAGCGCCCATCTCTGAAGAGGACACCTTCCCTCGGATCATTTCATAATTCCACTTCCTTCCCTCCTGATCAATCCATGAATTGACTCGAATATGGTTTTGAGGTCCACTCTGAATGCTCGCCTTGGGAAGGGAGGGAACCCAAGGGTCTTGATCGATCCATGACTCATCTCCTGATCCAATCACTCTCACTGCTCCCAGATTGATGACTTTCTTGGACTCCCAGAGGCTATCCCAGATCCACGACGGTTTGCTCCCTTTTTTTGCCGAGAGGAAGTTTCCTCTTGGGAAGTAGAGTCCTTTGAGAAGTCGACTCCAAAGAGTATCAGGGTTGGTCAGGAGCCGCCAAGCTTGCTTTGCCAGAAGGGCTAAATTAAAATCTCTAAAGCTTCGGAACCCTAGACCTCCTTCTGACTTAGGGGTACACATAATTTCCTTTCTACACCAGTGAAGACTGCTCTTCTGCATAGACGCTGACCAGAAGAAGTTACTGAGAAGTGAATCCATCTTCTTTGTTAGGGATACTGGTAGCAGGAATAGGCACATAATGAAGGATGGAATAGCCTGAATCACAGATTTAAGGAGCACCTCCTTTCCTCCGTGGGAAAGAAGTAGGCTCTTCCACGCTTCCCCCATCTTTTCCATCCTTTGGATAAGGAAGTAGAACATTTCTTTCTTTGAGTTTCCCCACTCGGTCGGGACTCCGAGATATTTGGAATGACATTTCGTAGATGCAAATCCAATGTGAGTGATGATGTTATTCTTTTCCTCTGTTGGAACATTCGCACTGAAGAAAACTGACGATTTGTTGATATTAACCTCTTGCCCAGTGATTGCTCCATACTCGTTGATGATATCCAAAATTCTCCCTGCCTCTTGAATATTAGCTTTTCCAAAAATAACTGTGTCATCTGCAAACAGACAATGAGTGAGGGTGGGACATCGAGTGTTAAGCTTAATTCCCTTGATACGGTCTTCCGATACAGCCTTGTCAACCAGGAATGTAAGGGCATTAGACAAAAGGATGAAGAGAAATGGGGACAGTGGGTCTCCTTGTCTAATGCCTCTTGTCGGACAGAAGGTCTTTGATGCTTCCCCATTGAATAACACCGAGAATCTCACTGATCGGATACAACTACTAACCCATTTACACCACTTTTCATCGAATCTGTATCTTCCAAGAAGAGTTTCCAGGCAATCCCAGTCAACCATGTCATATGCCTTCTTTATATCCAGTTTTAGCATCATATCTCTCCTGTTGCCCAGCTTGTGATTTTTGAAATGATGTAGCACTTCATGTACAATAATGATATTATCTTGGATGAGTCTTCCGCCTGTGAACGCTGTTTGAAGCTCCGAAACCAGAGAAGGGGTCCATTTCTTCAATCTGGTAGCCATGATCTTTGATATGATTTTATACCTGAAGTTGCAGCAACTGATGGGGCGAAATTGACTAATGTTCTCCGGATGGTCAACCTTTGGTACTAATGTGAGTATCATTCCATCCCTCAGGCATAGATGCAGTCTGAAAAAACTCCTTTATTTCTCTGCAGAGGGTTTCACCAACCGTATCCCAATACTTCCTGTAGAATTTTCCTGAAAACCCATCAGGACAGGGGGCCTTCCTGGCTCCAAGAGAAAACACTGCCTTCCTAATCTCCTCATTGCTAATTGTCGCAGTGAGGTCTTCATTCATCTCTCCTGTAACCAACATTGGGAATCCTTGAAGGAGATGGTTAAAAGCAATAGGAGATCTGGCCTTGAACAGATCTTTGAAAAACCACACTGACATGCCCTTCAACCTTGCTTCATCTTCAACCCAATCTCCCATTCCATCTCTAAGGCGTAGGACTCTGTTTCTATGCTTTCTGTAGATAGTGCTGGAGTGAAAGAAAGAAGTATTTTGGTCTCCTTTTTGGAGCCAATTGACTCTCGAGCATTGGCTCCAAAAGGCTTCCTCTTCCAGCCAAATCTTATTCAGTTCTGTTGTGAGGTTCTTTTCCTCCTCCACATTCTCTTGCATCCTTGGAGGTTGCTGGAGGACTTCCAACCTAGTCACAATTTCAGTTTCCTTTAGAATACTATTCTTATGGAAATCTTTTGACCATGCCTTCAGTTCTCTCTCGCATTTGCTCAGCTGGTTGCTAGAATGTCCACCTGGATCCCATTCTCTACTGACGATCTCCTTGCATTCTTCTTTTTCCAGCCATCTCTCATCGACCCTGAACGGAGTTCTTCTTCTGTTACCTTGGTAGTGGAGGTCAATCCTAAGTGGACAATGATCTGAACTCACCATTTTTTCATGAAAAACAACCGCTTCACTAAACATAGTTCTCCAGGACGGCGAACACAACACCCGGTCTAGTCTTACTCTGACTAAGTTTGCTCCCGTCCGCTTGTTTGACAAGGTGAAGGGGTTGCCTTTGAAACTGAGGTCGATGAGGGCATTGTCAAAGATGAACCTTTTGAAGGGTTCAACATTCTCGTACCTAAGCGGGCATCTCCTCTCCTTTTCATTCTCATAAACTGCAGCATTAAAATCACCTACAATGACCCAGTTGTCCTCCCTACTACTCCGAAGGGAACTTAAGTGCTCCCAAAACTCCCTTCTACTAACAGCTGTAGTCGGGGCATGAACAAAAGTACAAAAGAACTTCTTCCCCATGTCAATACTAACATCAACATAGTACCTATCACTACTAATTACATCAATACTAATACCCGCCTTCCACCAAACCGCAAAGCCCCTAGACGAGTTAATCGGTTCGACATACTCTCGATTGGGAAAAATCTTGAGACTTCTTCTATGTTCCTCCATAAATTCTTCATTGTTGCAGGTTTCCATTAGAAAAACAATAGAAGGGCCATGGCGCCTAAAAAGACGCTTAGCATAACTTCTTGTAAGGGATTGGCCAAATCCCCTACAATTCCAGCTTACTATACTCATGGGAGATGAGGTGGCTTATGGCAAACCACCGCTGCCGACGTTTCCCTTTGCCCATCCCCGATACCCTCATTAGTCGATTGGGCCTTGTTCTTATGTTGCTTCTTCTTTCTATTGCCTCCACTTTTCCCACCTGCAAAAACAGAACTTGTTGGGCTTAAGTTAAAACAGGCCACTTCATTCACACCAGCCTCATAACCTTCTGGGTCTTGGGCCGAAAGCCCCTTTCTTTTCTTCATTCTTCGGCCCGCTTCCCCTTCTAAGTCAGCCTGGATATGCTGATAAAAGTTGTGGGCTTGTTTGTTGGGCTGCTTTTCTGGCCCGCTACTTCTTTCCCCATGAGTTTGGAGGCTGGGACTCCCAAGCCCAAGGGAGAGTTGAGCTCCCATCTGCATCTTCAACCCAGCCCTTCTTCGTCCTTCTTCTTCCTCACCAAGCCTCAGGCCACCTTGGAGCGCCGCCGCCGCTGATTCCATATCAATCGCCAGGTCCCTCGCACCCATTTCAGCTCTGTATCTCCCTCTCATTCTTCCGATCTGACCCCTTTCTTCAGCTTGTGCTTCCTCCTCCAGTCGGTTCACCGTAAAACCCGGCGGCATAAGGAGATTTTCCCCTTCTTCTCCTCTTGACAGCTCTGGCTCTGTCGCCGCCGTGCCTCCCCTGCCATCCGACTCCCCTGATTGATAGTGCTCCCTCCACGAAGATGGATCAGATGGAGGGTAG